ATCTGCAGAGACATTTCTTATGGCTCTATCTGCAGAGTCACTTCTTATGATTACATTTTCCCACAGGCCAACAACAGCTTCAAAAAAACTATTTCCCTCAAAGAACAAACCAAACATGCCCTGTNATTTCTTTTTTGACTCCCTTATAGACCAGGGGTGTCAAACTCATACACAGTGGGCCAAAATAAAAAAATGGGTACTAGTCGAGGGCCGGACTGGTTCAATGTTTATTGCAAAACGTATTGAAATGAACTATTGAACCAGTCCGGCCCTCGACTAGTACCCATTTTTTTATTTTGGCCCACTGTGTATGAGTTTGACACCCCTGGTCTATAAGGGAGTCAAAAAAGAAATACAAACAAACACAGAAAACGGCCTTAAACCTTAGTAAGTGGGTAAAAAAGGACCCTGTGAGTTGGTTTTTCTTGAAGTATCTTCGTAATTAAAATGTTTTATAATTTCATATTCCAGCTATTTTTCAAAGAATATGTTTTTGATACCATGCCATTCAAATGTTGAACTTACATTTTAACACATTTTAGATTTTTGTATCAGTACCCCAAGCTTCCATAAGTGGGTCAAAAATGACCCAAATGCATTTTCTCTAAGGAATCTTATGGGAACCTTTGCATCTTATCAACTGTGGCTGTCAGGAATACATTAACTGTAGACAACACAGACTACATGAGAAGTGACACTCTTTTTACTGTTTTTGTCGTTGCAGTAAATTAAAGAGTGTTTCATGATGTCGTTGCTGTGGACCATCTTAATCTCTTTGGGGGCCCCCTTCCGGTCCGGGGGAAACGGCGCCCCTGAATATAAGGGAGGGTTAAGGTGGTGGAAGTAGGACTAACAAACACGATCAACGGGCGTAGATTGATGGGGGGGGATAAGAGACCGGCTGCAGTGGTTCTGAGGGACCGAGGGGAGGATGTAGATCAGGGTTTCTCAAACTGGAACCGGACCGAACCCTGTGTCCCATTACAAAAAAATAAATACAAATAAAAGTGGACCTATTATGCTACATTGGAAAGATATATTGTAGGGCCATACCTATACAAAACGTTGACGTGTGACGTTTTTAAAAAAAAAATGTTTTTTATCAACTTTCTTTATTGGAAGCAATTAGAACAACAAAACAACAGAGCAGTGTCACAGAGAACTTCCATTCTTCCATTTTTCCCCGTCATTTTATCCCTCCCACAATCCCACCCAAAGGAGAATATTTCTCAGTACACAAAATGTAAACAGTACAAAATACATACAACAAATACATAAGTACGAAAAAAAAAATAATAAAGTCGGGGGGGGGCTCAGTCGTCACAGTCAGGCAGGGATGTCAGAGATTCAATATGATTTAAGAAAGGTCTCCACGTTTTTTCAAAAGAGCTTAAGGAGCAGTTGAGGGAAAACCTAAGCTTTTCGAGTCTAATGGACAGTAACATTTCTTTCACCCACCTACTATGAGATGGAGGTTGAGCGTGTTTCCAATTGAGGAGTATAAGTCGCCTGGCTAACAGGGTGGCAAAGGCTAGAACAGTCTGTATAACTTTAGAGGCGACAGGCTGCAGGGGGGCACCAAACAAGACCAAGAGAGGATCTGAAAGGATAGTAGTATTATATGCTGTGCTAAGAGTTTTGAAGACATCGGACCAGAATGTGGTGAGCCTAGGGCAGAGACAGAACATATGGGAATGGTTGGCTGGGGATTGTTTGCACCTATTACAAGAGTCAGTTACATTGGGGTAAATCCGAGATAGCCTCAAGTTAGTGTAGTGAACTTTGTGCACAACTTTACACTGTAGGAGGCCGTGCCTTGCACAGATTGAAGAGGAGTGAACCAACCGTAAAACTTGTTGCCAATCATCGGGCAGTGTGATTCCAAGCTCCTTCTCCCAAGAATCCTTGGGGCCGGTCGCTGGGCTGTCAATAGCAAAACTGATAAGGCTGTAAATTCTATAAATTAGCCGCTTTTGTTCGGGATCAAGCGCCATTAACAAGTCAACCAGGGTTTCTGGGGGACGACTCGGGAATTTAGGGTTCTGATTCTGGACAAAATGCCTTGTCTGAAAAAAACGAAATAGGTGGGTTCTAGGCAGGTCGAATTTCTTCGAGAGCTCAGGGAAGGACATAAAAGTCCCCTGGTTGTAGAGGTCCCTAAATTTGGTTAACCCTTTGTCAAACCAAGTCCGAAAGGCCATATCGGTGCAAGAGGGCAGGAATAGGTGGTTATTTACAATGGGGGAGAGATCTGAGGCCCTATGGAGGCCTAGGCTCTTCCTAAATTGAATCCAAATTCTAATGGTGTTAGTTACCACTGGGTTTGAGGTGAAGTTGGAGGTAGACAGAGGGAGTTGGGAACAAACCAGGGAGTGAAGAGAGAGTTTAGACGATGCAAGTCCATATCCACCCACGTGGGGCGTAAGCCGCCTGCAGCATTGTTAAACCAGATTTCCTTGTTTAGCGACACACAGCCAAACTCAACCTGAACACACACAAAGTCACAGCCGAAATAAAAACAATAAGTGTGGCTTAATATTGAGTAAGAAAAAGGTTTATAGGTTGATAAACGCTGTGAGAATGGGTCTGCAGAGAGAATTTTGCGCGATCCCAACTGTCTGTTATCAGCCTGCNCACAAGCGGAGCAATGAAAAAACACCAGCTAAAACAACAGATGGGCCAAGACACCAAATCAAGGCGAATGGAGCCAGCGTGGAATACTGAAGATTGACGAGAGGAAAAGAGAGCGCAAACAAGGGTTTCTGGGGAGAGATTGAGGAGCGCTGAGATAATTTCTAGAATTGAGCTAGGATCAAGTAAGTAAGACAAAAAAAAGAAACACAAATAAAACAAAACGGATGGAGACAGTCTGAGCGGGATTAATTACAATGTGAATAGCTGCTCCGTTCCGATATGAGGCCAGGGAGGGTTCACCTGTCTTGATGGTGAATGTAGCTGCATGCTGCCATATCTGAACAGATACAGCTTGGTGCAGCTAAAGTGTATGTGCTTCTATGAATAGGCTTGAAGATGGAGCTTCCGTTTTTGAATGGAAACAGATTTGAAGTACTGTATGTTTCTCTTTAGGAGGCATGGCTGTGTAAGTTTACACATCGGCCATGTTGTTATCATTTAGAATTAGCAGGAATATATTTACCAGACTCACCTTCTTATGCCTCGCCCACACAAACACGGGTATTTTGATAGCGGTTTTCTATGCATTTTGGCCTTTCAAGCCACAAGCAAACTGCGTTTTAGGGCCTTCTTTGTAAAACTCCTTCATGTTCGGAAACGTTGTTATCAGTGTTTTTGGCTTGTGACGTTAAACTGTACGTGGTTATGTTCATTGTGAGTTGCCACAAAGTCGTGGTAGCGTCGTATTTTTTAAATCGGAAGGACAATATCTGAAGTCCGGACCTCATTTTGAAGGATTAGAACTATGACTGTGGGTCTGCTTTAACTTTAAAGTCATTCAGAGGGAGGGGGTGTCCTCTCTTCTCCTCTCCTCTGTGAGGAGCTGCTGCAGGGGGGGGTGCATGCTGCAGGACTTCCGTGGGGCGGGGGGGTGCATGCTGCAGGACTTCCGTGTAGCGGGGGGGTGCATGCTGCAGGACTTCCCGTGTAGCGGGTGTCTGCATGATTGATAATGAAATCCAACATTCAATGTTCTTGGGAGGCCGTTGTTTATATTTCTGACTCTGTAATACTGCTGCTACTTCCAGAAATGTTCTACGCTCGCTCATCTTCTCTCTTGTCTGCTCTATACATGCACGCGCCACACGTATCCCCCCCTCTCTCTCTTAAAGGGATAGGCTGGCCGCATCGGCATCGGTAAAATTGTTACTCCAAACATCAGCACTGGCAGACATTTTTTATATGGGTGCATCCCTAATATCATCATTTCGTTGTGTTTTTATTACGTTTGAAAACAAAGGAAAAACTAAATGTTTAAAAAGATTGAGTTTACATGTGGACTCGGATTTTTTGCGTAACATTTTAGCAGTAAAGACAAACTATAGCGATTTTCACCTGTTTACATGTATTAGAGCGTACATTTGAGTAAGTATCCAATGATGGCGCTAAATTAAAGTTAAGGGATCACAAAAGGTTCATCCTAAGGGGACTATGAATGTTTGTACACCATTTTGTGACAACCCATCCAGTAGTTGTGCAGATATTTCAGCCTGAATGAAAGATGCGAACCAGCATCCCCAGCGTTTGACTCTAACAGAAAAACAAAGATATCAAACCCAGATGTGCAGGACTTGAAAATGTTTTTATATATTATGAAAGACACTGTGGTAGATTCATTGATTCACAATACAAGAACTTGACAACCTGGGACTTCCCATAACCTTGAACTTTTTAAAATACCTTGTAAGGTTTTGACACTAGCTTCTTTTATACCTTCTTGACAAATCACAATGTTCTGCACTGCCAGCCACTTAAGAGAAACTGGAACCTGCATTTAGTATAACCACAGGAGTGTAAAAATATAGTCTCTGGGAATTATTCCCAGGGTGGTTGGAAAAGCCAAAACAGAACCTGTTACAACGACTATACATCCAATTATATTTTGTCAAGTTCCTGCAGAAGAAAAAGGACAATATACCACACCAATTTCCACTGGGATTGTCCCATTTTCAGACACACCAAAGCTTGTTCCAGGAGTTATTTTATAGACGTAGTGGCTTAACATCTTTGTATTGTAACATGCAGGCAAACACATTGACATTAAACACATACTGACCTGCCCGATGGTGGACGAGTCGCACATGGCTGTTGAGTATTGCCGGTCAAGTTCAGGTGCGTTGTCATTCAGGTCCAGTGTCTCTATTGCAACCAGAACTCTTGACACCTGGCTGGGATTGTCTGAAAGAGCCAATCAGAAACAGGCAGTTTACAATACAGCCCTCGAAGATGCCAGCAGAAAACTGTGTTTGGAAATAAATGTATGAATACAATTCCGAAATGCAACAATCAGTAGTGTTTTACCACAGAGGTGCCATGCACTGTATGCACTCCATTAAATCCATTCAATTGACCTCAGGTGGGATCAAGCTTTCCGGTCTTTGTCCGGAAACTTCAACAGCACTCGTATCACATTAGCGAGAACAAAATTGGCGAAATACACAGCAGCAGAGCATTTAGTTTAATTTGGATTGTGTGACAGCTCACAGGCTCCCAGCTGGAGTACCACTGCTGCTCCCATAGCAGTCACATTTTTCCACATCAAACTGTTCCATTCTTAGCCAAAGCATCTCACAGTGTCAAGTGTGTGTTTCGAAGAAAAAAGAGAGAGGAAGCCGAGGAGGGGTGTAGAAAGCAGTCAATCTGCATGCAGTCACACAAGAGCGAAGTTTAAACGGATTGGCAGAGGGTGTCCCATACCCAATTCACTTGGATATCTATACACACTTGAACATGAAGTTCTCACAGCCACGCTTGAAACGCACTCTGAGCTGAACATTCACCATTACATTTTAGGCTGCTCTTGTGTAGGGCTCAGGCAGGATCCTGGCTCACAAGCACCCACATCCAGTCATTTATTTAAGCAGCCGAGCCTGAGACACACTGGGCCACACTTTAAATTAAGACACACACACAAACACTCCCACACCATGTTCTCAAACCTAGAGCAGTAACACTGTGTCACAGATGACAGCGACTGCTTCCAGCCCCTGAAAAGCTGAAAATGAGCTCTCGCTGTAATGCTTCTGGGTGCTCTGGCATGCCCGTGGCCATGGCAGGACTCCTACTGCGGTTTATGTCAACTGTCTGTTTATTAGATCGAGCTCATTATTCCAGACAGGTACTAGCTGTGCTGCCATCCCAGTCCTACCGACACCGCCGCCACAAGGAGCCCTGAGTAGATTTAAGTAAAGATTAAGTCTGTCCAGAGCAAGACTTGGCAGGAAAACAACTTCCTCTCCTTGAACACAGCAGCCATCGGTCAGCATTCTCCATCAATATTCACACTTTTACACCAACTACTTTGATTGAGTTTTCAAAGGGCTGAGACAGGGATCCCTAATAATGGATTGGGACCTGCCAAGAATGACTTTTAGAATGTGCCAGGAGACTCGTGTTAATTAAAAGACATCCTGACAACAAAAAGAAATGTGGTTGTTTGATGATGCCTTCAAAAGTGACCCGCATGTATCAGCATTTTGTGATCTGGCACCCTTATCAGAAGAAGGCAGTCATTTGTAGTGCTTTCTTATAAGCATCTGAGTGTTTTCTAATCATCCAACACCATCGGCTTCTGCACAAAAACCTCAGATTTGGTTATTGGTACAAAATCTGACACAAATAGGAGTTGACAGAACCTGAACAAGTAGCATTGCCAACCAATGATAATCCCAGTTGATCTTCTGATGTGCTACATTTTGATGGTGTCAACAAATCCAATCAAAACACCAAAATCCAATTGATCATCATAACAAGTATTCTCAGTGTATTCAAAGTCTAATATACTGTCTTTTTTGTACCATAGAGATTCATTGTTTTCTAAAATGGCCATCCTTTTTGATTAGTTGATGTGTTTCATGTCCATACATTGACATTGATTGAACATTGATCTTGAAGTCTATTTTGAGTCAGTCCACTATTAGGTTTGCAGCTAGTTAGCGGTGTTACCGGTGTTACTGGGCGTTCAGGCATACCAGGATTCCATTACTTGCCAATCACCACGGCCGTCGATTTCCTTTTTTTTAAAGAAATCAAATCTATTTGGTTCATTTTCTACTGCCCAGGTTCATCAGATACAAATACCTTAAGAGAACAGAGCAGAACAGAGGAGCAAGACTCATATTGCTCGAATAACAAAACAGAGAGTGGACCAACAACACAATGGCTGATATTAAGGTGTATTAAAGTATCACGCATTTAAACCCAGTGTTATGAAGGAACCTTATAATGTTAACAAGGCGATCTGCCAATGGTTCTGTCCAATCATTGTTGGGGAACATCCCGCCCTGCAGAGAACACTTGAACGGAGAGGCCAATCACACAGTCATCCGGCGTTAAAATACAATTAGTTTCAACGTAATATGTTTTCCTGTAAAACATCTGGTGTTATTGGTAACATTGGTGTTTTCATAGGGTTTGTAACGTGTGGAAAAATATTCTATTAATACTCACTGGAGTTATTCCGTGGCTGAAAACACTTCCAAACAAATGCACTATTTCTCTTGTTCGAGTGAGGTTTACCAGAAGCTATATAACTCCCAGCTGTTAAATAAGATTATTCAGCCATTTAAAAGAAGGAAACTATATATTCATGACCTTTTAGGGAAACAATGGGCTTGGAATGAGTGCCACATTATGGAAATCGAAAAGCATTCAGAGGTTAGTTTAGCTCTTCTTTGCATTTGTCGACAACAACAAATATATACAAAATTGCCATCCATCTTGTTTAAACAAAAACACATGTTTTGTTTCTCATGCTGTCAGTCACTCTTCCTTTTCCCTACTGTCAAGGCAACAACTAAATGTCCCCAGGGGGTCTTCAAATGGCTTCTAGGGTTTTTACCATTTTGAATTGATGTACTTAACAGGACCAATACCAAAACGTGTTGGTTTATTAACACACAGAATAACTTTGTTTCAAAGTTTTGATTTTGGAAACAGCAGTTGACAAAACAACTTAACCGTGATCATGATTGAAAGTTCGAGAGTATCTACTAAATAGACCATGTGAATGTCATTTAATCTGTCCCCCTTTGTTCATTTGTTGTGTCTTTAGTGATTGAAACATAACCTTTGGAGGGCCTCAGGGTTTGTAGAAAGGCCTTGCCTTTTATCTGAAAGGTGTTTACTGTTCTCTGTAAAGCACTGGTTGCGACCGATTCTTCGCTTTAATTCTTTGTTTCCAGTTGAATCCTTATGAGAAGAGGTCTATCGCAGCATTTGATATCACACAGTATAGATCAATTGATCCTCAGGCAAGCTGTAACAAACTACTTGTGGCGCCAAACAGCATTCCCCTCATGGCTTGATGATTCCAGTGCTAAGCTGCTTAGTGGACTTCATCTCACAGTAGATGCTGTGCTTTTCAGATTCCGTGCCATTCACACTTCCTCAAATCTCTTAAACCCTTATGCTCATCAGTGAGTGCAGGTGTCAGTGGTATAAAAATGTAGGTTTCATTGAAGAGTTTTAGCTCCAAATAACAGTAACAATCCAATTGACAAGCTCTAGGATACAGTATCTTAGCGTCAAGTGAGAGAGACCTCTGACCTCTTTGTGTAGCGATGACAGTAATGTTGTGCCAATGGTCGCGTTCGCGGTCCAGCTCCATGGCGGTGGTGATGAGGCCGGTGTCTGGGGTGATACGAAACAGAGCCTCTGGGTCTGACTGAGGATCAATAGAGAACCTGAAGAAGAGAAAGTAGGGTGGGAGGAGAGAGATAGTTGCGTTGAGAAAAAGTGAAATGAGGAAGGGGTATAGAAAGAAGAAGTGACGGAAAGAAGAAAGCCGAGATGGCAGTGGGGTGCAGAGGGAAAGAAGCACACAGGGCAAGTGTGTGAGGGAGCGATAAGGAAGTCTGCTTTCAAATGGCCAAAGAATTAACATAGGGAGATTATCGCATCTGATAGGACCTCTTTTGAAGTGCCACCAATGATCTAAATATCTCTATGACTATACTAACTATCATTCCTCCCCACACGCTAACTCTCAGTACTTTTGCCCGTGTTAATTGGGACACAGCTTTACAGGCAAATCACTCACCCTCCCAGACTAAACCTACTGCAAACAGAAGAGAGAGGATAGGACCTCAAAAACGTATATGGCTACTGTCAGATCAAGGGAACAGTGAGTGAGCATTTGGTTATATTCATTTGGTGAGCTGTTACTGTTGTGTTCTGTTTCTTTTAGTTGAAAAGCAAAGTTTGAATTCAATCAAACAACTCTAAATCCCTCGCTTCAAACAAATCCTCTCCTCAAAAACATGAAATAAACGGGAAAAAATGAAACTCTTAGCACCAACTTGTCTTTGGTTTTTCAATCAGCAGCTTTGTTGTGGATAAAAATGGAATTGAATATTTGCATACTCAAAGGAGTGCTTTGGGATCTGTGCTTTTTCCTTTTTTCCCCTGAGAGTTAGATGAGATGCGCTCAATGAAGCTACAGCCAATAGCTGGTTAGCTTAGCTTTGCACAAAGATTGTAAACTGAGGGAAATGGACAGACGGGCTGGCTATTTCCGTCAGTTTACAATCTTTGTGCAGAGCTAAGCTGACCAGCTATTGGCTATAGCTTCATTGAGTGTACCTCATCTAACTCTCAGGGGAAAAAAGGAAAAAGCACAGTGACAAAAAAGGCAACAAATAAAGGTAACAAAATAAACCAGCACCTCTAAAGCTCATTCATTCTCAAGTTGTTTTAACATTTACAAAAATAGCTAAGCTAGTTGGCTAGCTAACCCATAGCAGGAAAGCTAACAAACATATTAAAAACAAGAATAAACAAAAGTTGTTCTGAAGTTTTATATAATATATGAGGACAGATGGCTCTGTACCTGATATTATTGGTAAGACCAGTATCCGGATCTACAGCGCTGACCCGGCCCACAGTGCAGGCTGGCGGGCAGTTTTCAGAAACATCCATATGGTATCTGGCTCTGGAGAACCTCGGAGGCTCGTCTGCATCCAGCACTGCTACTCTGATGGAGGCCCGGTCCTTGAAGGGGCCTCGACGCAAGAATCGAGGATCCACTATGGGGTTGAGAACCTCCACAGAGAAGGAGTAGGAGCTCCGGCTCTCATAGTCAACAGGCTGGGGAGAAAAATGGAGAAGAGTTAGTTAGATGGGTTAAAACATTTTAATATGGAAGCATCGACTTGTCTAAGGTTTAGAAGGGCATTGTGAAATAGGAAATTGTTGACACTTTTTGGTGGCAAATAATGCAAATGACCCGTTTTTGGTTCAAAGTTTCACACAAAATGTTCTACAGAAGACTTCAGAAGCAGAGAGATGGAAAATAATGAATTATCCCAACAGATAACAGCTACGGAGGCTAGAAAATGGTAACATCCAAAAATGATTTGGAGTAAATAATACCATGGCTACCTTGCATGGTGCAGCGTTTTGAATTTTTAAGTGTTACTTTGAAGGCTGATGTGGGTGGATGCTTAGAAGTTTGGTCTATGTGAAGTAGGAGAGACATTCATGAGGCGTTGATGTTACAGCATTGCAAATGAGATTCCCGATGCTCAAAGAGTTGAGAGGCTTCTTGAGAGCCACGACAATAAAGTAAAAATATGTTTGGATATGGGTTTGATATTGCTGTTCATGTCGGGATCTTCTTGAAATGCTAAGACTACATGATATATAGCTTTGGGCTTCATTGTCAGGGTGTTGAATGAAGAGGCTGTATTCCGAGGAGCAGTGTGAGATTAGTGCTATCTACAATCAGCACAGATGGATGGAAGCATGGGGTGTTAGGGATATTTACATTGAGCATTGTGTGGTTTTGGCAACACTCTTGAAATTGCGTTGGTGGATACCTGGCAGGTAGTGAGTAGTTTGTTCTATGTTACAAACATGTTGGTAGGAGTTCTTTCAGACCTCATGTGGGATTAAAACTTGCTTTTGTGAACATACAGAATGGATTCAGGCAATGTCGATACATAGTTGCCATAAGCAATATCCTTTCCTACATAGAAATTGAAAACAGAACCATTCACTGCATAAAGAACGCCCTTGTTTAAAACATCGTCTCAATCTCCATGGCAACTCAACGATAACAATAGGGACATGTACCTGGGAAGCGTTAAAAATTCCATTGTATCCGAGCATCTTCACAGGTATAAGAGATTTCATTTGGGATTAAGGCTCAGGCCCCAGAGATTGTTAGTTACAGAGAAGTTATGAACCCTATTTGTCTGAGGTGTCCGTGTGATTGCCCCCCCGCATTCCCACCAGCGGGACGCCTCTGAAGCGAATAGATTGCCTCTGATCAGGTTTGCTGAGATGATACTAAGGCAGAAGTACACTCGGGTAATCACATGCTGTCTCACACACCCTGAAATACATCTGCTGTTGATTATATTTTGCAACATGCTTCGGTCTGGGTCAGAAATACCTGTTTGAAGTGTCGGTGTGTGGGCTTGTGTGCAAGTACTAGTGGTTGTTTTAAGCCCGGGTGTCCTGAAATCCTCCCTCAGTGTGTGTGTGTGTCCTTAAGTAAGTGTGCATATGAATCCTCTCAGTGTGATTGGCACACAGCACCATGTTGGACAGAGGATAAATAGGCTCCCTGCCTATGCTGAATATTCTCTGTCCGATTCAAAAATGGAATAATCATTCTGAGGATTCCAACAGCAGTGGGAATATTGAAATCCTTTCACCCGAGCGCTCTACTTCCTTTCTGATCTTCATTTTTCCATTTCTTTTCTTATTCCGAGCCGTAAACACCGTTACAGAAAATCAGCGGTTTCAGAAAGTGGTGGAGATTGATTAAAGATTACACAGAGAAAAAGGGCGAGTTAAATGACATCGAAATGTGGGCAATTTGGACCATATCTCTGCAGCAAAGATAAATAAACAAGAGGAATTGTCCTGGGGGATGAGAGAGCGTGTGTGTTCACGAGGGGTTTAGGTTGAGACGGAGCGGAAGGGATCTCTAACGGAGACCCCATTACTGGGAGAGAGAGACAATCTGTCTGAGGAAGAGAGGTGTCACTTACACTGTGAGCACACACTCATCACCCCCCTCCCTCCCCTCATCCAGCACTCCATCACAGCCGTCCCCCCCTCCTTCGCCACCTCACATACTCCATCACCGAACCCCCACCCATCTTTTTCCCCCTTGTGTGTGTGCGGTTGGGACCAGTTCTGACAAACCCGCTCATTGGCTCGTACAGGAAGCACTTATCACACAGCGACTCCACTGTTGTTTTTATGTTTTTTCCTGTCTGCTACACGTCTGTGAACAGATGTGAACGTTCCTCACCAATGTTTTCACCCACAGTGCTCTGCTGGAACTTGCACACGAGCACCTTAAAGAGCAACTTAACACCTAGTTTTAGCTCGAACAGGACCTTTGCACAAATGTGTTTGAATCCTGACATGCACCATCCCCCTCATTACCCTCTGATCACCGACATATCGTTTCTCTCTCCCGCTGTCTTACTGATGAGTTCCATCCATTTATAGCCATTGTAGAGCCAAGATCATACATCTGGCTGTCAAGAAATGCAACAGTGGATACTAGGGATGTGTAAGTGTTGCTGTATTTAGAAGGACATATTTATATAATGTTAATAATACCATAGCTGGGAAGTAACTAAGTTACTCAAGTACTGTACTTAAGTAAAATGTTAAGATACTTGTACTTTACTTGAGTATTTACATGTTATGCTACTTAGTACTTCTACCCTAATACAATTCAGAGGTAAATCTTGTACTTATTCCAACATATTCTATACAATCCAGTGATGGCTCACGTTTTAGCAGGGTCTTTGTCACCAGCTTAAATTGATAGCTGGACAGTGACCTCAGTCCTGACACAACCCCACCCCCGGTCAAAACTAGTTCACTTGACGTAGAGGCAGTAATTCTACTGCTGTAGTCTACTGCTATTCTGCAGCTTCAGTTCTCAATCATTAATACTCCAAACAGTGTCCAAAGTGCTGACATCTCTGTAAAACAGGACCAGGAGAGATGGTGTAATAACTCTGCAATGTTACAAAGAGTTAACAAACTCTTATAGTGACGTCTCCTCACTTGTCTTTTACCTATGTTTAAATGCTAAATATGCTGTATGTGTCAAAGGCCAAAACACCACTAGATACAGCCTCCTTATCTGAACATTACCTGCATATCATTATATATTCAACACCTTGCTGTTTTTAACTGGTGTTTAACAGACTTGATTTTGTGCTATTGTGATGGGCATTTTTTTTTGTCAATTGGTATTATCCCTGATCAAGCAAGCCTTGCACATAGAGGAGTAACAAACCCTCTTATCTTTTGTTAAGGTTGCCACCCACACGCTCTCCAAGTATAACCTTCTCCTGTCCTGCAATGCTCCTAGAGTCCTTTTTGAAATTCAAATTTCTCCATTAAATTCTCTTCAGTTAGCAGAAATTAATTAGCTAACCTGCATGGTAGACTGGAGATACATAATACATCTCTTTCTTCTCAGGGAAGACGACCCATAGGCATGCACGCTCTATTGAAAAAGTGTGTGTGCGTGTGAATGTATGCATGCGTTACAGTAAACGTAAAATACTGCAGGGGGAGGCTTCAAATCTCAGAGGTGGCGCTTCTGCCTGACTTTTAATAAATTATGTAAAATGAGAAGAGGTGTGTGTGTGCCACAGATTTGTGTGTGTGCTCAGCACCCTGCCGTCCTTGACAGCTTGAGTTCTTTCTAGATTTTTTGCATTCTAAATCAAGATCATACATCACATTTGTCTGATGACAGACGCAGCTTTGGACATCTCTGCCAACAAGCACCACGGCAGAGTTGACGGAACAAAGACGCTTTAAATCTCCCTTTTGACTTTGTTCTTCCTCTGCCGCCCTTCCCTCTGTCACTTGTCTTATTTCACTCTCAGATGTCCCATGTCTTCCTTGTTTTTTTTCAATTTACGAGCAAGACATTGGTCTCTCTTTTCCTTTTTCCCTCTGCTTTTTTTCCCCTCTGAGGAGATTAACGCAATCTCTCCTCCGCGTGAGAAAACAAACACAGATAATCCTGGGCGCGCTGCTGGCGTGTGACCGAGGATTAGCCAGCCGTTTTAAGTGAGAGCATATGGAAATAATAATAACGGCAAACTGACACATGCGCGAGCGAGCTTCTCCCTCAGGTAAGAGGAATGAAAGGCGCACAAATAGTAGGCTTACACAGCTCGCAGCATCCCCGAAAGAAAAAAACAACCTCAAAAGGGAACCTCCTGAATCGGGATACTAACCGTTAATGATGTTGTGACATGCCTTGTGTTGAGTCTACTGATCCGACTTTGTTACATTCATGCTGTTAAATTCGGTACACATGTGTAATGAGGTGTTGTGAAATCGGGGCTTTGTCATACTTGGCTTTTAAAGTTTCTTCTCGCAATCAAAACACAATGAGCCTTTATTATTTAATCAACACATGTCTGATTTGCTCTTTGAATATCAGCGTCTATCAGACTTTGTGCGTCTTTTCCCTTTATCACCATCATTGTAGCCGCTGATTGGCTTCTGATTAGTCAATTGATTTCCCTCAACCATCAGCCACCATGAGTTCTCATAAATTCGAGCCTCTGGCCATTAGGGGGCACTGCTGCAGAGCCCTGTTTAAGGATTGGAGAGTGTTATGCAAATTCTTTAATTACCTGCTACTTACAGTGTGGCCTTGCTCACATGCTGTATCAAAAATCTATTAGCGGCAATATGTACAATCATTATCAGCAATATGTAAATAACAGAGCTGACCGGGCACAAGGGGGGAAAATATACACTAGAAAGAAAACAACATAGAAAAAGAGCAACTACATGGAAGACGTCAATTTAAAATGCATGGAAGATTAGTCAAAGTGTGTGTTGCTATGTGGCGGATTTTCTGTACTTGTGTATCTTTATGGATGTGTTTGTCTGTATGTATTTTGAAATGTGTGTGTGCGAATTGGAATAAGGCAGACCTGAGTCAGAGGCACAAAACAAACAACACACACGGTCTGACATGGCCTCCAGACACAAACCAGAGCGAGGACGAGGCGAGGAAGATGCAGCGTCTAGGCTGTACGTTTCCATGTGTGTGTGTCCGTGTGTGTGTGTGTGTGTGTGTGTGTGTGTGTGTGTGTGTGTGTGCGTGTGTTTGCATTTCCCTAGCCCTGCATCTTTGGACATGTGTGGGGAGATCAGAGGGGAAGAGTGAGACACAGAGAGAGAGAGAGAGAGAGAGAGAGAGAGAGAGAGAGAGAGAGAGAGAGAGAGAGAGAGAGAGAGTATAATGAAATGCAGAGAGACAGTGGCTGATGATGAGAAGTGGGGGTGATGGTGGGGATGGTGGGGATGGTGGGGAAGATAGAGGGAGACTGTGAGAGGGAGAGAAATCTTTTTATTGCTGGGGGTCTCGGTGGGACTGACAGTAAATAAGCAGTGATAAGCAGCAGGCAGCTTCACTCGGCACCCTGACTTGCAGGCTGTTAATGACCCAGCTTCCCTCTTGCGCCTTACCCTTTTTTCTCCCCCCCCCCACCCTCTCATAGGCACGTCTTCCTCATCTTCATCTGTCTGATTCTCTATTTCTGCCTTCTCCTCCATCTTGTCATCACATATTCTTCCATTTAAACTCCTAACTCCTTCCTCACAGCTCTCCCTCTATTGACTCTCTTTCTTCCTAATCTGCTCTTAAACCCCCCCCCTGCTCGGCTCAGACTCCCACCCACCTCCCATCTGACACATCGTTCCGAGGTGAGGACGAGCACCGCAGCATTCCTTTTCCTCGTCTCGAAATGAGCAGCTCCTCTTCCCTTCATTCCCCACAGTTTAAACGCAGAGCCGCAAGGTCAAGTGTGTTATATTGATGTGTGCCACAGCATATATCTCTCTCTGTGGTTTATTGGTGCTTGTGTGGGTGTGCGTCTCCATTCTGTGTACCTCTTAGTGCCTGTGTGTGTATGTGTGTGCAATCTCAGATCAACGGTTAAAGAGATTCAGCACACAGCAGCTAGATGACCAGCAAGGTCAAGGCCAACTCTGTGGCAACACACATTTTTCCGCTCAGAAATTCCTTCCTTCTCCGGGGGCACTCGGATCATCTCTTTCCCTGTAAAGATTCTTCACATTTTCGAAAAGCCTGCTTT